GTTCTTAGTAACAATAACCTACTGGAGAAAACAGATCTACTTTTCTTTTTTTCAATTATGGTGGTAATGTTCCCTGGTCATGATTTCCAGGTGTATATGTGTATGTGTGTGTGCATTTTTAATGTATACATTCATACATACACTCAAATAATATTTTTAAATAGATGCTTATTTCTCCTTTACAAAAATTTGGAACTTTTTTCTGAAAAGTACCAATCATCATTGTTTCTTCTTCCTTAACATACAATAGGTAGTGATTGTTTTTGAGGATGTTTTACTCATAATACTGTCTACTTGAGTTCTTTCTTGATAATCTCCAGGGTGTGTCTCAGAGAGAGCTTTTGGAAAACCTGTCAGTTAGAATGAGCTATGCCAATTTTACTCAGGACCTTCCTAACAAAAGAGAGATCACTTAAAGTCATTGTTTGGCTATTTTTTAATCTCCTGACTTCCCATGTGCTCACTTCCATTTTCTCATAATTAATAAGATGATGAAAATATCATTGTTGATTTATAATATGATCTACTTAAGGATTCAAAAGGGAATTTTCTTTTTTCAAAATGTGAAAATGTTCCTTAGTAGATTGAATAGGGAACCATTTATAAAGGAGAAGTTTTTCCGAATCATATTTCCCTGAGAAATAACGTCTAGCATGTTCTTACGTTGCTGTTGGAGAACATTGCCAGCTTATGTCCGTGATAGCCCATTTATTGGAAGATATTTGATCTGAAAGTGAGATTATCCACAGAATTTTTATCTTGATTTGCTATTTCTATTGAAATGCTAATGTTAAATGTTTGCTTTTTCATGTAATAGTTTTATGACTTCCTAAAGGGTGCAGTTTACAAGTTCACATAATCGCTTGAACTTTGAGCTATCGGCACTCATATCTTTGCGTGCTGATGTTCTCAGGAGATACTGACACATTAATATTTATAGACAATATCTTATCTGTATTAAGGTGCCTCTTAGCTGATACTTTCAAAGCAAGTTTAGATATTAATATGTATTAAAAAGAGCTCTTAGGAAACTATGTAGAGCCTTGGCCTTAAATTCTTATGTTTAAAAGCTTCTGTACCCTTTGAGTATAATTTTTGACTCAGTCTTCATACCGCTTTACTTCAGTATTTACCTGATTGTTATTTTAGAAGTATACTTATATTTTAAATCTTTTCTTTTAACCTTTGTGTCTGTGTGTTTACCACATGGATATGTATGTGTGTGTTTGTGTACAGTTGTGTTTCTTCGTTAATCTTTGGTCTGCTTTTGACTTTCCAAGTAGTTTTTTATTTTTTAATACCTAAGAAAAGTTCTCATTTTTGTGTCAGCTTTTCTCCACTTCCTTTTAGTACTAAAATGAGCATTAGAAACTCCAGTTTTCAGATCTCCTCTTATTGTGGGGATAATCAGAGTAACATTTTAGAACAGTGTTAATCATCATTTGAGAGATGTTTTTAGAGATTTAAAACATCCGAAAAAAAATAATTTTATAGTGCCCTTTCAAGCTGTGCTGTGTAAATAAATCTTCAGTAGCATTTCTGGCAGTGGTGCTTCTTTTGGATACAACTCAGCATTCCTTCTGCTTTCTCTCCCTTGCACAGGGTATTAGACACGTGGACCACTTTGGGTTTATCTGCCGAGAGTCCTCAGGAGGTGGAGGCGTTCATTTTGTCTGTTATGTGTTTCAATGCACAAATGAAGCTCTGGTAAGCCAGAATGAGCAGCTCTTACCTTGCAACCTTATCTACACGGAATTTCAACCTCACTCATTTTTCTTTCCTTAGCAAAACCACATAGCCTCACTGACATATCATTATTTGACTTTAATTATTCATTCGTGACTATTGAATAACTGGTCAGTACACATCCAAGACTTATTTGGGTGTGCATTTCAATTTTTATCATTTTCTAAGAACCTCTTAACTTGCGTCCTCTAGTTTTGGAACTTAAAAATGTCATTTTGGGCTTTTGATCAGAGGAGTTGGCTTTTTTTACTAAGTATTGAATTTGTGTTTTTAGTTTTTACCTTATCTCCTTTAAGAGCCTTGAGCATCTATCTAGGTCGAGTTTCTCAGGCTGTAATCCTAGCAGTTATTATGATTATTATCCACTAATCTGTGACTAATAGTCCAGAAAACTCTACTAAGTCTTTCTTTCCACAGAATTGTGATATTTCAGCCCATCCCACGTTAAGTTGACTTTTTGCTAGCTGCAGTCTCTCTTCTCTTTGATCAGGTTGATGAAATTATGATGACCCTGAAACAGGCTTTCACGGTGGCTGCAGTGCAGCAGACGAAAGCACCAACCCAGCTGTGTGAGGGCTGCCCCCTGCAGGGCCTGCACAAGCTCTGTGAACGGATAGAGGGTAAGTAGGGGCCCTTCTCAAGCTTTACCATAGTGGGAGCTAAAGGTCCCGGGAAAACGCGATGATCTGCATTCATTGAAGCGTTCTGCTCAACAGAAGCTTGTATGAGTTAACTGGGATTGTAGGTGAACTTTCATTGTGCAGTGAGTATCTTCTGTTTGTCAGGCATTAACACTACGTATTCATGATTCGAAGATAAAAATGCAGCCCCCCTTGTACTATCTCCCCTCTGAGGGACTCTGAGGGTCATGGAGGAGGTAAGGAAAAAGTTTACAAAACCATTCATGTTGTTAATCAAGGTTGTGTGAGTGGTCATTCACATTGGCTGCTATGGAGGGTTCTAGTAAGATAAGAGCGAAAGAATTTCCAATAGGTGTCTCAATTAGAACATCATCCGTAATGTCAGCCCGAGCAATTTTAATGGATTGGAGGGCACAGAAGACTGGATGCAGTTGTGGAGTGAATGGGAAAGAATAAAAGAACTAGTGACTGAGTATGGCCTACAGTTTCTAGAAATTTGACTTAAGGAGAAACCATAATGGTATGATTGGCAGCTATTATT